TTGTAATAAACTATTGATGTGGCTTGAAGCAAGCTCTCTCGTTCCTGCGACAGCCTCTCCCCGCTGGCGCTCTGAGCAGTGAGCTGAGTGTGTGTCGGGGCAGTGAGCTCGGGCTCTGTGCCACCGCAGTGCTCCTGTAGCCTCACGCACATGTGCCTGCTGTCCCCACACGTGTGCCCGCCGCCCGCTGCTCCCAGCCCCAGTCTGGGGCACGTAGTCCTTTGCAGGCCTCACTGTGCCTTTCCTGGGGGACTCCTGTAAGCGTTCCATGTGCATCATAACTCCTCATCCCGGCTGTATTACCAGTGTTGGAGACCGTGCCCCCTCTCGCTTGGCACAGTGCCTCCTTAGTCCCCCGACCCCGCCCACGGGGGCACTTGAGGGCACCTCAGCTGCCAGCACCCTGTGGCTGGGTGTGAGTCACCATCTCGCCCCTCTGTGCCTTGTATGCCAGGCGCCCTGCTGCTTCCCGATTGTGTCTTGAGCAGGGAGACACTTCCTCTGTCTGCTGCTGCTGCTTGTTACCACTGGGGATGTGGGCAGGAAGTTCCCGCTGCTCTCCCCGAAAAGCCTCTCTAGGGCGGGACACCGAGAGCTCTTACGCTGCTGTGACAGCCAACTTCCTGCTGGCCTGTGCCCAACGCTTGGTGACCACCCCATCCCAGGCACTGAAGAAACACTGGATAGAGGGCTCGTGCCACAGTGCCCTGGGCTCCAGGACCTGCCTTGTCGTAGCCCTAGGGTGGGAAGAGGTGGGTCCTGCTTCTGTCTGAGAGTCCTGGAGCGGTTCAGGCCGCTGAGTGAGCATGGAAATGAAGTATTGTGTGTTGAGAAGATGCTTCCGAAATGGTCTCGTCTGCAGTCATTGGCTGCACACACACAGGCTAGCGCAGCCTTCCTGTCTACTGTAACGTGTGCCCTGAGACTGTTTCCAGGTTGGTTGTCCTGCTCAGGAATCGTGCCTGCAGGAGGAGGCGCTGGCCCAGGTGGACGCGTGCACCTTCCAGGCTCCCTGTGTGTGGTGCTTCGGCAAGCAGAGACCCAGGCCTGGTGTTTGGCAGGAAGGTTGGTGGTGAAGAGAAGCTGCTGCCCCTTTGCCTCCCTCTCTCCAGCCTTGGCCTGCAGACTGGCGGAAGGGAGCGTTGGCGCCATTCTGACGTCGTCCTAGAATGTGGGGGCACGCTCAGACGTGTGTGCCTGGCATTCCGAGATTCTTTTGCCATCACTCATAGTCGAGGTCAAAGCTACCTTTCCAGAAAGGTGGCAGCCTGGTTGCAATTGCACTTGAGCTAGACAGTTCTGCAGGCCTCTCTGCTCCTCTGGGTGGGCTCTGACCTCACTGTCATCAGGCCTTTGACCCTGTGAGGCTGCGGGGCTTCAGGACCAGCTGTCCCCACCCTCTCCAGCCAGCCGGGTACAGGAGGCTGCCTCCCTCCAGCTACTGCCACTCTCATCCCCCATCCTGTCCCTCCTGTGTCACCAGCTCGCGAGCTGCTCCTGAGTGTATACATGGTGACAAGAAGTGGGTGGGCTCCCCCGCCCTGGCAACACCAGGCTCTCCAACCCCCCACATCCTCTGAGAACAGGCTCTGGGGCCTCAGAGTGGGGCGAGCCTGCCTCGCTTACAAGGGTCTGCCTCAGAAATGTGTGTCCACTGAAGAAAATGACACAGGAAGCATGGGGGTGTTCTGTGCCTGTCCTGTATAGTCTCGGTTTGGCTTTGTTTCCAAAACACAGTGCACCAGGGAACCCGCCTCGCAGGGGCGCGTCTGCCCTCCGTGTTATTACGGCATCTTTGTCTGCTGAGTGACGTATTCTTGGTGTGACTCCGCTGTTAGTGGCCACACAGCAGTCCCTTGTTGGGGTCCTGAGGAATGACCTACTCTGCACCTGTTAATGCTTGGCCTGGGATGGTGTCGGGCTAGTCTTACCCGCTGCTGCCTGTGCTTCCTGAGTGCACACAGCACTGACGTCCTGGGGCAGAGTGAAGATGCGGGGCGTGGCCTTCCCTGGACAGTGGTCCACCGCCCAAAGTTCAGCTCTCCCAGCCTGCCCCACGATTCTCCAGCTTTGATATTAATAACATAGAAATTTTTCTGGGTTTAACAGAAGTTTCTGGGTTTTTTATTGGTATATTTGTTTGTTTGGTTTTGGGGGTTTGGGGTGGTTTGTTGTTTGGAGGTTTTTGGTTTTGGTTTGGTTTTTGTTTTTTTGAGACAAGGTCTCGCTATGTAGTTCATGCTGGCCTTGAACTCACTATGTAGCCCAGTCTGGCCTCAAATCCATAGCGATCCTCCTGCCTCAGCCTCCCAAGTGCTGGGATTACAGGCCGGTGTACATTTGTGATGCATCATTACATTCATCTTAGTACGAATACATATTATGTCATAATCATTTTTATGTCTCCTTCCTCTCCTGGCCCACCCCTCTCCCTCTAAATCCCCTTCCAGTCTGCACAAAGTCTGCCTCCCTATCAGTCCACTGTTATTTTGCCCTTTAAATTATTTGTATTTTTGGGTTTCTCACATAAGAAAAACCACGTGATATTTACCCTTCTGTGTCTGATTTCCTTCTCTTAGCGTTAGGGTCTCAGGGTACGTCCATTTCCCTACAAGTGCCTCCAGTCTGTCCTTTCTGGCTGAGTAGTACTCCACTGTGTGGTCGCCACATTTCCTTTATCTGTTCATCTGTTATGGGTATATAGGCCATTTACAGGCTAGTATGAGTTGTGCTGCTGTAAGCGTGGGCATGCATGAGTCTCTATAATATGGTGACTTTGACTCTTTCGAGAAGATATCAAATATGTA